AAATCCGCGATAAAAGTAAAAAAGGATATCCAATAGAAAGACGAATGGTTCGCGTTGATCATTCTCACGTACAAAGGGCCTCATTTTACCCACTATGAAGAGTGAAGATATTTAAAATGTCTACTAGAAAAATTCTAATCCTGCATTGATTTCAATCCAACAAAGCTCCAAACCAAATCAGCAAAACTCCACACATTGTCCATGCATCCAGGAAAAGCAGTTTGATGCGTTGCTGATTGGCGGTGGGTTTAATTCATGATGGAATTGGCCAATAAACAAAGTGGAAACTTTTAATTCTTCGGAGATAAGTGAACCATGGAGCACAACAAGGGAACATCAGGCAGCAAAAGTATCCGATTCAGCCAGTTCTGCGTTCCTATCGCGCACTCTGGGCGTCTTCGTCTGGCCAACAACTCGGCTGTTTGTGTCCGATGAGGCCCCCCGAGCAGCCACTTTCCCCTGTATCGCTGGGTCATTTGAACGAGAACGAAATCTTGAGCAGAGCGATGGCGTAGATATAAAGTACGCCACAAAAGACATTTTCATTTATCTGTCAGATGTGGTAGCGCTGCTAGAAAGTGATAGACTCTTGAAACGTCAAGTAGTACTATTTATAGTGACATTAATTCAGCTGCGATGTAAGCTAACCACTGCTTTCTGTGAAAAATGCATGATTGATAGTAAATGGTTTCAAGGGCAAAACAACAACAACTGTAATAGTCATGCCCAAGCCAGACCGCTACAAGAAAAGTGTAAGGATGATTACTTGAACGGTATCCACTACACTTTTGCAGCAGGTAACTACCAACAAACAAAAATTTTTTAAAAGAGCGTGGTTTCAAGATAAAATACTTTTTTCGCAACAAAGCGAAAATTTGCTCACTGCACGTCAAACTGGTACTGAATAAGCAAACATGTCTGAGTCTCTCATTACAACACTACCTTTTTAACCACGTCACAAATTCAGTTTTCCTGGTATTGAAAGCAATGGATAAGAAAAACATATGTCACAGCACCGAAAGGCGAGCATGTCATGGAACCAATAGAAGATATGAGACAGGATGTTTATGACCACGACTGATTACGAAGGATATGCACAAATAAGTTAGTGGTTAGATGTGAAGCAGTAAAAAAAAGGGAAAACTCTGAATTCAAATGCACAGCAAATGATAGCTGTTATGGAGATTTGTTAGAATACAAACATATGATAGAAGCATTACAATGCTTCATGTCAAATGAAGTGAAACGTTGCTTGGCTAAAAGTAACAAGTAAAACATATGATTGCAAAATCAGAAACGATATCTGATGTTCATACCGGCAACATACTCACCGATCATCAGAAAAGTTAATATTAAAGCATATTCTCCATAAGCATTAGCACGTAAGGATTGATAAGTGACTTTTGATCTTCTTTTACTGTACATATCAGCGATGGTAGTTATTTGCATGTTCGCCTTTGCAAATTAAATACTCTCTAATCGACAATTCTTGATTTCTTTAGAGAATAATCATTCATTGGAATAACACAAAACGATCCTTGATCTATTTATAATCACTAAACGGAAAAGATAAAGGGAAAAAGCGGGATAGTGTCAGCAGCATAACCGCTCACGCTTTTGGTAGCGATACATAATATTTTGCAGAAAGAAGTTCAAAATACTTTATAATAGTGTTTAACACACATAACAAATCAGGATCACTAACATCTGATAGTAAACATCTCTACTCAATCTGTCTGCAAAACCGCCTTTTCTCCTAGTAAAATGAGTTTAATCCAAAGCTATTTGAAACTAACCTCTAGATGAAGAAGGCATCACCGATGGACTTGCAGCGGGGGATGAATGAATCCACTGCTTAAATTAAACCATTAAAATTGTAACGGCAAAGTCATATTGCTCAATGTTTCTTAGTAAGAAAATCTGAAACTTTCGTACTGGCGAAAATTTTTTGGCTTGGGAAACTTCTATTACCAATATGTAAGCAAATCAAAGAGAAGCGAAATTCTTTACAGTCTGTATGGTTTAAATTCCCGCATTCCAGCAAGTCAAAAGTTATTGAAAAGGAAAAAAACTTACCTGATGTGGAGGCCCAGGTACTACAAAACGTTCGCTTTGTTGAGCAGTAGAACCTCCAAGTCCAACCTGATCAACAACCATATGAGTTATTCTCGATGGATCAAGCTGGCCAAGTGGGCTATCTGCAACTCGACCTTGTTCCTGAACCAAAAAATTTGGTCTCATACATGCTGAATCTAGAAGAATGATTGATTTTGAAAATTACAAAACTCCTTAGTTTTGCATTTCTTTCACAAAAAGAACAACTCGGCCGAACAAAAGATAGTCTACTTTGCATTGATCTCACCGTTTGTGACAGCCTCCCATCATCCCCACAGCTTCTAAAACTATCACAGTCTCTGCTGCTCGCATCAGTTGACATTTCAAATTAGTTGAGCTG